TCTGCACTTTGGGGTTTAAATTTAAAGTCGTTGTAAAATATACGTTACTTCTATTTATTTTTCATATTAAATAATGTTAGAGTAAGATAACCTTTCAAAGTTATTATACTGCATACTGAATTAGTGTTGTTTCTGTTAATTCTGCCACCATTAAGTGTATAAACAACTTCTACATTTAATGATTTAAAGTCAAGGTAACATTAATTTTACCTCTATTTATTTCTCATATTAAATAATATTGAAGACAGTATGAAATACTAAATAGATTATTAGAGTGGATACTGGATTAGTGCTATTTTTTTTTAATTTTTCTGCCGTCGCTCAATACAACCCACATTTCGAGATTTTAATTTAAAATCGATGTAAAATAATGTTACCTCTATTTCTTATATTAAATAATGTAGAGGAAGACAGTATTTTAAAAGTTAATATTTTTCGTTACAATAACTTTAAATAAAGAATTAAATAAATAACTGTTTATTAAATTTAGATTAAAAGTAAAATTTTGTCCATGAGATATTATTTATATCGTCTCCTATACTGACTAAAGTTAAAACAATATCAGTTGGTGAGAGTTAATAAAAGCAAAACAACCCAACACAGATATTATTATACAAAGGAAACAGCAATTTGTCAGTACGATAACCACATTGTTCCAGTACCCAGGTGTTTTCCGAAACGCTACTAACTAAATTTACATCATAAACTGGGTATAAGAATTTATGATGTAAATTTTAACTTTAAATTTTGCATCATACCGAAATGAGGCATTAACGTCCCAGAAGTGGGTTTGAGACTTCGTTTTACAGAAGGATACAATTAATAGTAATTGCTGACTTAATGTTTCCCTGTATTTTGAACTATATATAATACAGTACAAAAATAAATAGAAAATTATAAAAATCGTAGAATAAAACAAAATCTTTATTCTATGATTTTTGTACTTTTAATGTGAAATTATTTTATGGGTAATAAATGATTTACATTCAAATTTATTCTAACTAATATAATAAAGTACATTGATCTGCAGTTAGTTTACTAATTGTATACAGGCGATTTTTTTCTATCATATTTATATATTCGATTTTCGTTCTAATATATTCTTTTTTATTTTCATCCTTTTGCGGGATAGACAAAGAAAATAAAGCCCAAACAGCGTAATCTGCCGTAGGTTTTTATGGATTTCATAGCTAGTTATTCTTAACTGTATTCATAACGTAAATATAGGTAGGAAAATATTTTTTTACACTTTTTAATAGCTATATAGCGCAGCGCGAATATTCTGTTTTCACAATATAGTAGTTACAAATAATAAACATAATTTTGTCGATTCTTTAATTAAAGTTACAATAACGACTCTATATTATATCTAGTATTATTTTGTTGAAATGTCAGAAGTACTAAAATGTATATTAATTTAGAATAGAATAGTAATAGGTAGAAAAGCATCTCACTTTCCTATTTATAATAATATTTAGTATGAACTTATAGGGATAATAATATCAATACTTCACATACATAATATTTATTCATTATAGAATTCTACCAAAGCTTAATATTTACAATACGGTCACATATAACAAACAAAAATGCCTTAAATTGGATTACGTGTTACAGTTGCGGTACACCAAAACCACGTTTATCGTAATATCCAATAAAGGAATTTCCTAATAAATGTTTTTGTCCTGTCATGCTAATATGGCCGATAACTAATTGGAACGGATTAGTGAAATAAAATATATGTATATATTTAGATTACAATAGATATTATTACTGATTAGTTAATGTATAAGATTAGGTATTTTTATTGTAGACAAGGACTATACAAGGTTTACATTATAATCAAAAAATATTAATTAAAAAACGACAAAAAATAATGTGAAATTAATTCCGTAATAACGTGAAAGGCTCAATTCATATTTTTTTTTAAAACAATATCCAGTTTTACCGGTAAAATACTCCAATAAAATGATGCTAACATTTATTTTGATTTTTTACACTATATATATATATTTTTATAAACTGTAGTCATTACCATAGAAAAATTAGCTTTGTTGTATACTACAGATAATATGGTGACAGGATGACAAAAATGAAAATATTTTCAACGCAAACTAAGAATTAGCTAAGAACAAGGAAGTCTTTGTTCTCACTGTCAAATGACTTTGTGTAAAAAATTAATAAAAATCGTACTACCAGCAAGATTAAACTGTGTCACTTCCACAACTTCCGGCTTAGGGAGAATTTTAAGATTATTTCTGTCTTTGTTAAACACAGCTTCAATATTCCATAACATCCATTAAAACTTCTATTAATTTAATATTTTGCTCTGCAAAAAAGCAAATTAATAACATAAGTAATAAATTCATTTGAATTTCCAGGCCTATGGAACTGATGTGAATGAATGAATTCCCATTAGTCTTACAAGTCCAACAAAAGGAAAATATCAATAGGAACGTAGTTCGCTCTTAGCGTGTTTCATTACGGATCTGAGGCCTCATTATCCCGTTTCTATCATATAGTGATAGTAGACTACTTCTAATCAAAGCTCGTCATCTCAAAGCTACCCTTTCCGTAGGTACTGCCCAGGGGATTTAACTACTTCATTCTTTCTTTGTAATAAGAAAACTTTCAGAAGGACCAACTGTTTCTCCTCTTAAGTTTAATTAAAAGATTGCAATTTCCGTTTTGAGGTAGGTAAGAAAGTTATGACGTATTTTTTCCCGTCTGCCGTTTATTTTTTGACTTAGCACGCTTTAGGCGACAACGACTGGAGTTAGACATCTTTATTCTCATTTGTATTAAGAATGTTTCTTTGAGAAGTATATTACATAATATTTTTAGAGATAACGTTATCTAATAAATTATGGTACTACTTGAACATAACTGTACTAAGGTGAGAGTTTATAAAAATATTTGAATATTTGATATTCCATCACGCTTAAAATAGGTCAGATTGATTTAATAACGTATATAAAGATGAATCACGATCATTCTATAATTATTTATCATCATTCATTTGTTATTCACTGCAAGTCGTATTTCGTGTTCTAATTTGCTTAACGTAATAATAACATTAAACTAAAATACTTAAATGCGTGACCAACATTAAATTAAACAAAATAATATGAATAATCTTATTCCTGATGTGACCTGAATATGCTTTAATATGGTTTCTATTTAATTAGAGGCTGCTAAGTTCGTCTCATGTCGAAGCCTCAATAGTTGGGTACTTTAGCAAGTATCCTTGCTAAACAATGTATACGTATTTAGTGATAGGTACATTGAGAAGTGTCAAACTTAAGTTCGATACATATCTTATGAACAAACTACTCTATATTGGAATAGAACTAAACTAATTTTATCAGCGACTATAAATTCATAGGGAAACTTCTAATTTATGTAAAGGTTTCGATTAGAGAGCGAAAACAAAGCAAATAATGAAATGAGATTTAAGCAATATATATTTCTATATGTCATTAATAGAAAACAATAATATAAAAATTATCTTGCTTCCTAAACAAATATAATGATTTGCAAAAAAATGTCTTTAATCATGAACGGCCATATCAATGAACGACGAAACGTTTTATAGAACATTAGTAAGTAAAATTTATTTATATATCATTCATGAGTAATGTACGGGTACATTTTAAAAAATAAATTGAAAATATTTGTGTTGTAGTAAGTTGTTTTTGCTCTGCAAATATTAGAATAATAATTTTCTTTTTATAAATATCTGTTATAATTAATTAAAATTCGAAATATCTACTCTTAGATTTAATATTATATAAGTTATAAACAGGCAATCAGTCTCTCATTTAAATTACTTTTAATAGGTAGATAGTCCAAAACAATATTATGAAATATTTTATATAACAATTAATATCTAATTGGAAAGAATAAATAAATATATAGTTTTAAATTATTCTTTGAATTTTAATTGGAAACAAAATTTCATGTCTTACCTAAACATCTTCAAGTACCTACAGTATTTATTCATAATATATTAAATTAATTTAATATTATCTCTTTTATAACTTTTATTTTTTTATAGTAACCGACCAAGGTCTTTTTTTAATTTCACATCAAATATTTTTATGTATTAATAAAAACGTGTGTTATAGCGAGTACGTGGCTTGCCTGATGGTAAATTATTACCGCCACCTTATAAGCCTTCGTAGCACCTAAGGTAGCACCGTAAAAATTGCTAGCGTGTAGTCAACCCTAAAAAAGCTTATAACTCCTTTTTAAAATTTTATTTTTATACACCAAAAAAAAAATAGAATAATAACGAAATGAGAGAATTATAAAGCCAAGCGTAGAAATATAGATAAATGTTTCAATGTATTATTTGAAAATAAAATATTTTTAAATATATCGATTTGAGTACACTATGAGGCTCTATAATATGTGTAATGTTTGCCATACAATTGTACCTTTGTTTTCAATGTTTATATTTGTAATTTATGTACGAATTAAAGAGTTTTAGCACTTTATATAAATCTAATATACAATTTAAAAATAATAGAAACATCTTTTAAAATATTCTAGGCAATACGATTGTATGTTAGACGATACCTTTTTCTTATATTAATTTTGCAAAGATCAACGTCGATTTCATCGTAGCTTTAAGGTTGCGCCTAGCGCAGATAAAATTGCAAAGTGTAGGCTCAGGTGGTATGGACATGTATTGAGGTGGCCCAATTGCCACGTTGCAAAGAAATGCCTTTCCATGGAAAAAAGAAAGGACGAGGCAGGCCGCAGATTACCTGCATGTTAAATGTCTAAGAGAATATGAAGAAGCACGGCCTAACCGTTTATAATATACATCAGCGAAACAAATGACAATGCATAATTACGACAGCCGACTCCGTATAACGGAAAAAGGTGAGAGAGAAAAGGAGAAGAAGAAGACAATTTTTTTCGTAGACTAATATCTTAGTTTGATAATCTTTATTTGTATAATTGTATTTCATTGCACGACTGCCATTTTTACATTTTTACACAAAAATAAACAGATACATTGAAATTACATGTCTTGTTTTAAATAACAAATCCGAGGTCATCTAGATTGTGAAACTGCAAAACACATGTACCTACCTAAACATAGCAACGCAGTGTAAACAAATGCCAGAAGCCGTGGCGGGAGACAAAGGCGCCTCGGAAACATGAGGAAGAAATTAGTGCCAGTGGAGAAGGCTATATGCAACGTAGTCGCCGTCTATAGGGAGCGTGGGTGAGCACTTGTACTGGTCTCACTGGTGTACAAAGAATATATAGTATAGTGTGTCTCTTAAATTGGTAAAGTGTATTTTCTTTATAAATATGTAATTAAGTACAATCTGAACATATGTGTTACTAAGGTTTCGATTAATTAAGACTTATTTGTTCTACTACAAGTTTCCTTATTTATATTACATATCACACCTTAAAACTGTTACTAAAATTAATGATCATTAAATACCTCATTCATTATAGATAATATCTACTAGTAATTTTATGAAAGTCACTTGCATCCTTCAATTGATAAAAATCTAATCCAAACTTTTGTCAAATGATTACCAGGTTGACTGGGAGACATCTTTATTTGGAATATGCCCTCCTGTGTATTTCTTTTATGTTATCTATTTTTTTTTTTTAATATGATGTAGTTTAAAGAAATTTAAAGTAACAAATTTTATTTTGAAGTCGTATCTATTTTAGTTGTATATATATGTAGTCGGCTATTTCGGCTTTGAAAGTGTAGATCAGCAATGAGTGTATATTTTTTTGTATCGCTCTAATTGCTAATGCTCTAAAATCTCATATAAAATGTATCATATAGTATATAGTACGCATTTTCTGTCGGTCATAGGGAATCCATTTGATTTCATTGTTCATAGTGGATAGGCGGTGATTATAAGGTTTCATAGGTTCTTTAACTTTTTCAGTATTATAAAAACAGAGTACTTATTTGAGGAATGTAATGGAAAAACAGTTGACACAGCAAACATTATTTTCCACAGAAATTATTTACAGCGCCTGGAGCAATTTGAGAAAGCGATACTGGCTTACGACGAGGCTCTGCGCTGGAATGTGAGTTACTAAAAACAAATAACATTTAGTGTAACCAGATATTGGAATTTAAATAAAACACATAGAATTTTAATACATTTATTTAAATAATGGTTTAAATTTTGAAATATAAAACATTGCCAAATATCTAACTAAAAATAAAAATGTTTATTAAAAAAAAATTGAAGCTGGTCTAATTGCAATGAAAATATTTGAACATTACATTCGATTTGTGACGTCTATCATTCAACGGATTATGGATGATTTATTCAAATCACGATTTAAGGCTCTTAAATCCGAAATCTTTGTCTTAAATAAGCCACTTCGTAATGTTTCTCTGTCAGATCTGTCACAATCAATCAAATTGGGTTAAAAACAAAGGTAGCCCCTGAGACTTCGCATTACCGCAATTCTACTGAAATACATGTAGGACGAGAATTCAGTATTTACAAACATGCAATTAGACGGTAGCCTAAACGTTGATAATGTTTACTCTTGAATCGTTATCTATGGTAGATAAACAGCAAAGTTGATAGTACGATCCATTCCAAAAGCCTTGTTTAATTTGTTTTGCTCTCATTTATATGAAACTGTAGTGCGGCTCTATTGGAGAATGAGTGCGTTCAACTTGATACTCGTAGTTGATGGACAGTTAATTAATGTGCGTGTACTTATTGACTGACGAATGATTGGTTGCGATAAAGATTTCAAATTAGTGTTATTAAAAAAAACAACACTATCAGAACTCAAAATGTATACTTTAAAATAATTTAGTTAAAAAACCGGTCAAATGCGAGTTAAATCATACGCCGGGGGCTTCTGTACATAAATATATAAATATGCGATAAAATTCTTTTTATTGGATTTCTCATACGAATTAGATACCTAATAGTTGTTATTATTGGTATTAAAATTCTTAATATTTTTATTTTGAACCATAATCGTAGTAAAAAACTGGACTGGTTAACTAAGTTTGTTTTTAGAGGATTTTTGATATTTTATTTAAAATTATTTTTTGTAGATTTGTGTTCTCTATTGACAATCACAATACCACTACGTGTTATAAAATATATTTCTTCTATATTTTTTATTGTAATAATTAATATGTAGGTACCATATAGCGAAACAAATACATGCAAAAATTGTTAGTTCTGCACTTTTATTAGCTTTAGTAGAAAATGTATTATTTCAAAAATATTCTTACAGCATTTTTAAATAAAATAATTGTCAATTTGGTTTTCTTCAACATTTCCATTTCTATGTAATCTCCATAGACACTTTGATATTATCAAAATGCCTAAACCAACGCGGAGACTGTTATCCTATTTGCATATCGACCTTCGTCCCATTTTCATTGTTATATTTTAAGTAAAAATATGTAAAATTCAATTCGGGTTTTGGTTAAACGACAGCAGCTCTAACTTAATTTGTGAAACCCCAACGCTTAGATTAGAGACAAGGCCGGAAAGAAATATAAAATGATTGGATTTGAATTTGATTTTGTTTTGTTATGCAACATTTTGTTTATTGTTTTGGCTAAAATTAATCTTCTAAGTATTCTGTTCAATAGAACGAAATACTCAAAAAGAATAATATTCAATAATAATAGTAATATAATAACCCATATAATATTTTTTCCTTATTTTATATATTATGTTGTATAATATCCTAGAAAGTCACGTAAAGTATTAGAGAATGCGGAGGATTGTATGTATGTAGAATGGACGTTAATTATCAAAGGTCACTAAAAGTTGGCCCTCGCACGTAACATGTGATGGCGATGTTGTCGTTATGCGAGCAGATATCTATTAAGAAATCTAATATAACTCCCTTATTTTGATGGGATACGCTATATCAGCCTTATATATGTATACTTTGATATCCAGTTTTAGTATAACCTATTATTATTCACATTAAAATAGTTTTTATTTAAGTATACTTTTATTCATTATCATAGGTTCAGAAGTAATTTTTTATATACTTTCATCTAGTAATACAAAAATCTAACGATTTTTACGTTTCATAATATGTAATTATACAAATAATTATGTGTTATTTATAAACATGATAAATAATGTCGTGGTATTCTATAGAGAAGATATTATTTTAAACAGTGTAAATTTATTTAACCTTTTTATAACTATACATTTAAATATCTACGATCTGTATCGATTTTAATATTTATAAAATAAATCAATATTCGTTTAGTTTGTTATTCATCATAATCTCGCTAACTGTAAATACGCATTCGAATCTTGCGGCAGTTCTGGCGATGCTTCACAACAATAATTACAAGTATGTTTTTTATTGGGAACTGGTATGAATTTTCGAATTGAAAAAAAAAAAAAAATTTACAGGATTCCGATGTGCGTTCACTTCTCGGTCGGAGTTTGGCGAGGGCTAAAATGACGCATTACTCGGGAGCATTAGCAGACGCGGCAAGAGCAGCCGGTAAGGATTAATCGATATTTTAATTTGCTCCCTGAGGGAGATTTTGTTTTGAAACACTCGTCTGCATATGAACTTGTATTTTGTTTATGGTTCTGCACTTGTATTTACATGAATGTATGTACTCATAATTAATGGCAATACTATACCTTAAGTTTAAGTACATTACCTAATGTTGATTAAAGAACATTATTTTTAGAATTAGAACCTGAAAACATGACAGCTCTACAAATTCGTGCATATACTGACTATGAGAAATGCACTTTTGAGCGAGCCTTGGTTTTCGCCACCAGAGGTCAACGAGAGCGTCGTTTCCCACCCAACTTTGCTGAGTGTGCCAGACTAGCTGAGGAAACGGTGAAAATAGTTTTATATATTAAATAAACTTACTATATGTCTATCTCTCTTAAGAGCATTGTACATTTGAAAGTGCCCCGGGTTTTGGTGAGATAAATTCACTATACAATAAACTTTACAGCGCTGTATCTAACTTATCATGGAATAGATAAGTATTGATTTCATTCAACTGGTATACAAGTTTGGTGCATTTATGTATATTTTTATACTACTATGGAAGTAAACAAGCATACGGGGAGTCTGATGGTAAATGATTACAGTAGCCGTTTAAATAATAATTACAGTAAATTATATGTAAAAATTAAATAATTACTGGATTTTTAATACGCAACACTGGGACGTTTAAAACGTTTAAAACTCTCGTATCACGATGTTCGTTCATCTCCGCATCATACTGATCTCTGAAACAGCTCAACCGATTTTAATGATGTATTGTCAATATGTATAGTGTGTGTTCCAGCTTGATAATATTTCCGTGGAGTAAAACAACGCTTGTCAGATCAACTAGTTTAGATATAAAATCTTTAATAATGTAGAAGTACCTAAGAAAAAGAGTATACTTTCAGTTATTAAATATTTAATCTTGTAAATATAGCTAGTCAATATCTTTCGCAGATTCGAGAATGTGTAGGCAATAATGCAAGTAAAGTTTTATCTGCAGCTGTATCTCTTTTGCATCGGATCGAATTAAAAAGAGATTCTATTGATGTTGAAACACCTGCAGTACTGCAGCGAAAAAGTCGAATGCAATCGCAACCTATGCACCAGGTATCTTCGTAAATGTAACTAATATAACGAAATATTAAATAATAATTGAAATAAACAACACCAGTATGATTATTTACTAATATCTATCGAATTAGTACATGCAGCTAGTGTACGTTGCTTCTGATCTAACTGAAAGTGTATCCTATATTTTAAAAAGTGTCCAACCTAACACCAGACTAATATATACTTATTTTTCCTAATATTATATAACTTATTATTTAATAAATAGTATTTAACTGTTAATTTTTTTAAGGAAATAATGCAACTCTACACTATTTTAAATAGATCTGTAGATGTTCTTAGCATATTAATATAGTGTACATAATATTGGCTTTGATTCCACACCTACGACAGTATTTGATATCGACGTTGTGGCCAATTAGTTAACTGCAATATATGCTTATATATTGCAATAATGCCCAGATATTGTAATAACGTTTCCTTAGCAATTTAAAAATTAGTTACTTAGTTTCTAGTTATTCTTAACCTTAAAAGATGAATAAGTATTTAGGCTATTTAACTATGCCAAAATAATTCAATAAATATATAAGTCAGATCAAAGGTTTTTTGATCCAGTTACTTAATTTTCCACTTTTAAATAAATGAAACCTTCTATAAATCGTATTATAATTTAATAGAATACAATGTAAGAACATTATATGTAGTAAAAACGTACAATTCGTGGTTTTATACTGATTACACAACGTAGATAAATTACTCATAAGTCTGTATTGTGTAATATATCTATTATTCATTATTAACAAGTATTGAATAATAGATATATTAAATAAAATGGAGTAATTTTACATTAGAGTGAACAGTACACTAATTGGACATTAATAAACTAAATGGCAAAAGTTTTAAAACAACGATATACTCTGAGAGTAGCATCTATTAAAAAGAAGTAACCTCGAAAACTTCATTTGTTTCTCTTGTCCCCTCATTTAACTTAAAGACTCATTAATTTGTATGGTAGGTAAGTACAATTTTTAAAACCTCTGCTAACAATTTTTTTTAAGTCAGTTTCGGCAACAAAGGTAAAATTTGTGTTTTTTTTTTAATGTTTTATTATTTTTTATTATAATGACTTTCTTTTTCTTTCAGGTACAAGAAATTTCGCGTGCTGAACAACAGAGGGTGAAACGAATTTCACGGTTGATGGCATCTAAATATTTAGAGCAAATGGCCTATGATAAATATTTTCTCACTAATTTATGTAAAGATGAAAGATTGGCGTCAGCTAATAAAAAAGGAGCCATACAATTGCAAGAATTAGCTAATAAAGCTTTAGAAAATATTGAAAAACGTCAGGTATTTACCAAAACCTATTTGATCTTCAACGGTATTTCCTAGGTATTTTTTTTTTCATAGCAAAATAATTACTAATATTAAGATTTTGTTAGTTTAAGTCTTGACCTGGACCTAGAATAGTATAATTTTTTATAGGTAGCTACTATTCAATGTTATACTAATTAATAATACTTATAGAATCATTTGATATGTACTTACAAAACTGCTAATCTGTCTAGCAACGTTTGAGTCTCCTTACATCCCTTTATATTATTACTAGCAAGCAACCCGCTCCGGCTTCGCTCGGACTATTTACAAAAAATATAAAATAGCCGAGGAGATGTAGATTTCTGTAAAATTGGTTGAGTAGTTTTTGAGTTAAATCGTAACAAACAAAAATCTATCATCTTTCTTCATTATACATAATATTAATTTACATTGATATACTATCTAAATTTTCGACAATGAATTGTGACAATGAATGTTTGTTACTCAATTATGCTTAAACGGCTGAAGAGATTTGAATAAAATTTTGTACACAGGTAGATTGTATCCTAACTTAACACAGGATAATTTATACATTAACACGCGGGTAACGCCGTGGGGAATAGCTAGTATTTTATAAAAGTAATGGTTTTGCTATTATTTTCACAAGGCTGTACTCCGAATACGTCAGCCTATGTATGCCGCTGTAGCTTTAGAAGCAGCTGCGAGAGCACGTCTTTACAAAACACGTAAAGAGCAACTCACCCGAGCTCAAAAACAGCATATCAGAGATGCGGAAAGACTTATAAGAGCAGCACGAGTCACATATGAAGAGCGAGATACAAGCAACTGCTTAGAAAATGCAGAGTTTGCAATGGAACAAATATCAAGAATACCAGCAAACTTACTACCTGGGAAAGAAAAATTCTTACAAGAGTTATACAATATAGTTGCTGAAGCTTTCTTAGATCAGGTTAGTTTTTTCAATATCTCAAAAAAGTTACAAATTAAATAACCCTTTTGTATTTTATTATTTTTGTTTTATTTATCAATTGTCTTATTTCTTTTAATTTGTAATCTATACGAATAGAACTTTGTTTGTAAAATATTGCTCCTTGGCAAATGCACATTTGAAAAATCAAGGCTCTCATAATTGTTTTTTTGTTTTTTAATGAGTATTTATTGGTTTTAAAGTTTATTATATCTTTTCACAAAACAAATTACTGTACTATAATTATGCACTACCTGCTTCTACCTAATTTAATTTATACCTCTCCCTATCGTTAGGTAAAAAATACTTAAATACGAGCCGCATGCTCGTTTGCCCCCTGTGTTGTAAAAAAAAAACCTAAATGCGTGGATTATAAATGTGTTGTCACCTATTTGTATGTATCGGAAAATTCAAATCGTAGAATTAGATTGATATAATAAGTGGTACATATTACATTTAGAAACGTGTTAAAACAACTATGAGTGAGACTGATCGTGAAAAAAGAGCGTTTATATTGCTCGGCATGGTGTTATCTCGTGAGCCGAGTCGTGATTCGGTGCTGCGGGTTCGACCACCAGCGCCACCGCGGGATGCCAAGTAATTTTTTTAATTATTATTTTCAAAATACAAATTTATAGTATCATATTTTTATGTAACTTAAGAGATATTGTTCAAATATTTTGTATTAGGTTTCGTTTTTTTTTATGAATGATAATAGTATGCTAACCCCGCTTACGTTATCGGTATACGCTAGCGAAGCACTGATGATAGATGATAGGTGAGGATTTTTTTATGACGACTTTCACAAGATTTTTATGGACCTGATAGAGTACATTGCTAGTAATGGGGCTGTTAGACCCCATTACTAACAGTTTTTTTAGGGAGGGTGGGGGTAATAATAATCTACCTAAGAATCTACTACACCTATCAGATGTAGTAGATTGTTAGATTGTGTGTGAATATATTCTCCTCCGAATTGAGTATTAAATAAAAATATCCTGCTTGTTAATACAGTAGGTATTATAATTCTGTTAGAATTCCATTTCATAAATAAGAATATGAATATAATGTGATTTCATTTACATTCATTCAATTGTTATATTCGTGAATGCGTAACAACGTCCAAATTCTTTATAAATTTACATTTGTAATGCTAATATGATATTTTATGAAAGCGTGGTGTAAACAAGGTTACGCTTCACTTAATTGTAAACAGTCATCACAAATTTATAAACATCCCTGGACATTAGGCATTTACAGTCATATCAACATCAGAGGAGTCGCCGATGCAAATAAAAGTAATAATAAAATTTTATAATAATAATAATAAATTTTAATTACGTAATGTTTTATCAAGTGATTAAACTCTATTATTACGTGTGGTTGTTGCATGAGTAATTGCATTCTGTGCAGACGTCGCTTGCGAGTTTTGGAGAGAGGTTTAACATTAAGCTCTCGTGCGCCCGAACGCTGTTACATACTCCATGAACTAGCGCGGCTGCATGTAGATACTAAGCAAGCGCACAGAGCGCGCTTCTACGCTACTAAATGTCAAGCTGGTATTTGACTTTACTTATTTTGAAGGTACATTACACGTAAAAAGCGATTATAAATATGTCACCACGCCTAATATATAATAAACCATAATAAAAATTATTCTTGATTGGATATTATAGTCTATTACCTATATAAAATGATTCTGCACCGTCTCGCTTACATATGTCTCGCTTAAATGCAGAAGATTAAAAATTTTATTTTTTTAAATATCATGTAGATTGAAAAAATTATTGTCGTGGTAATTAGATGCACGTGTCGAAATTATAAGCCTTATTACCATTTATGTACAATGCCGTAAAATGAAATAGAGTATCTCAATGTTATTCTATTCTGTTAACTTTTGGCTTCAAGAGTATTCAATTGACAGGAAAATTTCTGTACGAATTTTTAAAATAATACTGATATAAGAATATCCTGTAATTTTTATGTCTTTTTTACTTTGGATATACTATATCTTTTATTATTACTTTTTGCTTGTATAACGTAATACATATTAAATATTACTTTATTAGGCAATGTTCAACCAACTTTGGAGAAGCAATTATGGATTTGACAATATTTTTTACAGTTTATATTGTCTACAACAATTATGATGAATTCCTGTAATTAGCAGCAATTACTTCTTAACTTACGTTAGTCCTGAATTAAAATACCTTAAAACATTTGGCAATAACATATAGTTTATGGGAATTACTACTACTAATTATTACGTACTAATTTTGTCAAAATTCAATCTGGAACAGAATTATAATATTATCATAATACATTGTTATTTTACTCTTTTAATAGCATCTTTTATGTCGTTCCTTTTATTGCCATGACTGACGGAACAGACCCCGCTTTATCGCTAATTAACAACATAAACTACAGGTTGTTCAATTTATCACTTTCGTAGTTTAATTCCTTTATATTTTATGCGCAGAATGCCGTGCTGCAAACCAACGTGTGTGGCTTTTAAACGCCACATTTCTTCTAGCGCGCTGTCATTTGCTACAAAATAATCGCCCAGAAGCGCGCGCTGCCCTCATAGAAGGAACAGGATTATCACGCACATTTGGATATGATGATGTAGCTGCATTCTTTGATACTGTTAGTAGTTATTTTACGTACGATAGAATATTGTTTTTCTTTTTTAATAATTGATACCTAATTGGAAAAGATTTTTTTATTAAATATATGAAAGTATAATTATAGCGCTCTTTTTCATATCCCAAAATATAATAAAAAGCGACTGTAGGAATTAAGAACCAAAATATGAAAAAATAATGATAGGAAATTAGTGTTTGCAGATAGCTCAGGACCGCTCCTTATGACAGTCTATGGGAGAGGCCTATGTTCAACAGTAAACAGGTAATGGCTAAGATAGATAAGAGAAAATAACCTCAAAAAATATGATTCCATACGAATCTGCTTGATTAGCGTGACAGCTAAATCTTTATTAGTTTTCTAAATGTTTTTTCATATATTTGGACAAGGATCAAAATACAATTTGAACCAATTTAGGATCTGTTACAAATCTAATTTTAGGAACCAAAAATTTACACATATATTTTAGCAAAAATTTTTTATCTATCTCTATGAGTTTTAGGCATACACATAAATTCCAATTACACACATGGTCCATAATTAGAGTGAACTGATGGCAATAATGACTTAGATCCTTATAATTCACTAAATACATTACAATGATTTACGACATAAAATTTTCTTTATTATCACAATTACGAAACTCTACCTTAATGTTGACACGATACGGCACTTACCCGTTTTTAATAGCAAGATTGCAGAGCTTAGGACCCGAGATAAATGAGGATAAACTTTAACAAAACAAAGGATCAATCTGAAAATTCATCTACTTAATCATTCTGTAGGCCTACTTAATTAATTATTTTTCTACATTAATATATTACGTACATCTGACATTATATGGGGATATATGCGGTCGGATCCATGAGTGCCCTTAAGATATAACTCAAGTGTGGACCGGCGGTAGAATGGTATTTATGACCGGCATCCTCCCTACGTAATTTCTCTTGGTAATTCCCATAATCCTAATTAAGCCAAGCTTTCATTGCTCCGAACTCCCTTTAAGAATAAGGAATTACATATAACCACTAGATGTGTAAGTTGACCCATCTAATGCAACTTAACAAAGTTTTTTATAATATATTATGCTTATAGTGTAAAATTGCGTCATCAATAACGTCAAATAAGTGATAATTTATTAAATATATTGTAATAATATATATTTAATTAAAACTTGTTATTTTGTCTCCTTTAAATAATTACAACAAAATAACAAAAATATAGCATTTACAAAATATAAATAATTATTAATATTAAATATATTAATCTTGTCACGTTTTACACTTTCACACTTCATTTAAGTATATTTTTAATAACTCTGCACTTGATTTTAATAATTAATTATATAATAGGCAGGGCTAACTCTGTCTTGGTCCGAATTGGTAACTACTATTTTATTTTAATTGAAGTCAATCGATTTTTGTGGAAAAGTCTTAAATTATATTTTCTTGTACAGTGCGTAAACATCTCACTAGAAGGCGACATAGTCTCGACAGAAGCCGCCCTGGAAAAACGTGAAAAAGCCATGGTAAGCTTGATGCAAGACGATGATTTACGATCTGCTGCTGAGCACCTCTTTAGAAGGATGTCAGTCATACCAGCAGCCAGGTATTTATTTTGCTTTTTACTAATATTATACACTATTTATAAAGTCAGCTACATATACTTGCAGCAATTAGAACAAGAAGTATTCAAAGATATAGTTCATCTGTGTATCAAATATCATTAAAATTCGTTTAGCCATTGAAGTGTAATTTAGTAACAGTCTTCTAAATATTCACGAATCTTAAAAACTTTTACATTTATAATATTCGAAGGATAATGAATGTTGGTAAGGAAGTTTAGCTATTTAAAAGTTTGTGTATTATGTTATTTAAATGTTTGTATGTGTGCGTGTATATATCGATTTTTGTTACTCAAGATTAAAAGACTAAATGAATTTGAATAAAAATTGATACACAGATGAAAAGTACGTATTTATTTTATATGTTATAGATATGTGTTGATGTAGCTACTGTTCGTTTACTGCTTTTGCAAATTTACACAAGTTCAATTTGAACATTTATTAACCTATAAACTGTAAACTACTTGAAGAGCTATTCGCTCGAATAATGAAATTATATGTACAGAACAAATATTAATTTTAAAACAACATACCGGTTCAAGTTCTGTTCGGAATATTAAAAATCACTGTAACAACTTCGAGAAAAACAGTATTTGTTGCCATTAATATTCGAAATGGCACAAATTATTTATATATGACATAATAAGGAATAAATATTGGTTATATATATATATATATATATATATATATATATATATATATATATATATATATATATATATATATATATATATATATATAATATAATATTTTTATCTAATAAAAATGTATTTAGTTAATCGAAAGTTGTATCAATTTATATTTTTATACCGTCTACATACAGAAAGTCACAAGCGTAGTTAGTATCTAAACTCTCTTTTATTTATCGCAGACGATTCTCTATAATGCCAGGCACGCGTGTGGAGGATCCTATGCCTCCCAATGCTGCCAGTCGTCGCATATCCATCATACCCCGGGCTCAACAACCCACGCGTATACAGTACAGGACATGCCGTACATTGGGATTCCAAGATTTCGACATATAAATACAACCTTTATTTTTATATTCGAATATTTTTATAAATTATGAGTTAAATTCGTCGACATTTATATGTATGACTGATTTTATACGAATATAATACTTGGTTTAAGCAATCGGATACTTATACAGTAAGTACCTGTGTATACAGCATTTTTTTCATTTTATGCCGATTCTAATGTCAGTTATAGTATAATGTTATCGAATCATTTTGGTATTAAATATTTATTTTCTAATATTTTTCATGATTTATTTATTATTAATGTAGTTATATTTATTAAATATATTTTTATTGAAATATCTTCTTTATGCAATATGGAGTGTCCAAAATGCTGACGGAAATTTGGTGAAATCTGATGGAAATTTGTAACCATTGCCTATAGATTAGATTAAAAAATACCTAGAAAGTGACAGTAATATAACTGGAAACATTTGTTTTTTTTTTCGGTTAATAAGTAATTATGTCAAAACAAACATTAGATAGGAATTTCAGAGAAATCATTCGAATTAATATTAATTGTTCAATTTTATTACCATACACCCCGCCACAAGCTAAAGTTTTATCCCGACTATCAACCTTATCTTCATATTTATAATCAAACTTATTTTTATACTTATAATAATAATACGCAAGAATTAATGATTAACGAATAAAATGTATAAGACCTAAATAATTACATATTCAACACGAGACATTTTCATTCAAATATATTATCTAAATATAACGGGTATATATCATTCCTATTATGGTAACTATCTAGTAAATATCAAAAATTTTTAGATATATATTTTTCTATTTCTAAGACATATCTTAATAGATTATTATATCAAATCAACAAAGTAATTTGTCGGGAAACGAAAATCTTATAATTTATTATTTATATGTAATAAAAATATCGAATACAAATTTATTCATATTTATTTTTTATGACTAATATTTTCCCGGGACACGTTTATTGTCAAGGATAAAAAGATACCTATTTCTTTACGCATCACTAATAACTACTACGTATATACTAAATTTTATTTCAATTGATTGAACTGTTAAAATGCTAATAAAAAATATTTATTCTTTGTAACAAAAATATCGCAAAAGAGATAGTGTTTCTATTAAATATTCAAATAGTTTTGTAGATATAAAAGGATCAGTTTTAAATTAAGAATACAAAGAGAATATCAATTGAAATAAAAAATACGAATACATCCACAATTGAAAGCTAAAATACAGACAAGTTCAAAATGTTAAATACAAATAGGTTGTAAATTATTCAGAAACACGTAAAATACAAAATTATATAGGAATCATACAAGCAGTTTGTCTTAAATTATTTTATGTTGACAAAATGCATAAAATTTACTCTCTCTGTCACAAGAAAGCCTTTGTACTCGTGTTTAAAGTACTTCAAAGCAGAGCGTCAATCATCCTTCTCATAAATGAAGTAAAATGTTCTTGTTCTTAGATAAACAGCAATTAAGTACATTTCTGTGTCTATTCAAAAATTATAACTGTTTGTGAATTTCTTTGTTATTTCATGACTCCACTACCATCACGAAAACATCATTAGTATTTGAGATGCACAAACTGGTAATATACAGCAATATATAATATTTTAGTTACAATATCTATTTACTGGCCCAACAACGAACCCACCCTTAAATATTACCAATGCGAAATTTTATTTTGGTCGATAAAATTTCGCATATATAATATATAATATTATATATACGAAATATATATAATATATATATTTCGTATATATAATATTACTTTGTTTGTTCCCATATATATAATATATAATATTATATATATGGGAACAAACAAAGTTACGAATAAAATCTAATGAATAATATTCTTGAGAATTCATATTTTTAAATGATTGCCTTTGCTTTTTTTCTTTGTTAAAAAATACTTACTTTAGTTAGTCGATTAGTACTATTTTAATCAATTTCACGATTTCTGTACGTTCAAATATTTTTGTTATTATAAAATTTGATTCTAAGACTTTTTTGTGACCATATTAATTAACATAATAATTTTTTTATAAGCTAAAATTCCAGAAAGTCTGTTCAAAATGTTAATAATAATATTGCATATAAAATGGTTTTATACTGTATTTCAGATTTACAATAATGTCCTACCGATCATGATCGTATGATTCTCGTTTTCCATATTTATGTTTACCGATAACGGGAGAAAATAAGGTTTTAATGTTATAGTCTAATAAATTGTTATTACATGAATAAGCTTTAAAAAGAGCTAAAGTCTGTTAATGTTGAATATTTGTGAATGATTTATTTAAGAAATTATATTATAATAAACTAAATATCAATGATGCATAAGACTCCTATCGATCTACCACATAAATTTTGGTTTAGCTTGATAAAAATTAAATAATATTACATAGACACACTACTCATATACACCTATATTTTACGTCATAGATATACACTGTAAATCTGATCTAATCTTTATTACTAATTTAATAATCTAAATTTACTAAGTTAATGGCTATTTTCTTATTAAAACAGTTTTTAGTGAATTATGTGCCATTTTGCTAAAGTCCGCATCACTGGTTAGTCCATTAGGTATAAATATCTTGTTTCAACCATTAGTTTGGGTATGGTTGACAATATTTGAGAGTTGATTACTATTATTATTAGTAGAGGTTCTACGACCTACCCTATTAATCATTAATCTCTGACAGTTATTCGGTCTACGCACATGTTGCGACACAAGTTTCAACTTTAAACGAAACATCTTCAGGTAATTAATAGACCGCTATTTGGCGCTTAGTTTTGATTGAAAAATAATATGATACTATCTACAAGGTAAGTAAAAAGAAGATTATTATATGGTGTTTTATGGCGCTATCGCTAGTAATATATATACAGGTTTCCTCTGGAAAATACTGTCAACATCGTCATCATATCATCCATTACTTGTTTACTGCTGAACATAGGCCTCTCCCATAAGGGAAAGTTTCGCTAGTAATTGTCATGCTTGGCATACGTATTGGCAACCGCAGTTAAGCTTTTGTGATATTTTAAGAGCGACGCTGCTGCCCATCTCTCGACCATTAAGTTTAGTCACCTCTTCAAAACCCACGGAAAAGGAAAGGTTGGCCTATTCTATGACAGGACCACACAGTGGAAAATATATTTATAGTCAATTCTTGATGAATTTGTCACGACGACTTACTGATGTAACATCTTCCTTGTATAATATCATCTCTCATTCGTACTGTGCTATCGTAAATCAATATCACAGGTGAAGTTACCATTCCAATTATGTGAATTAAAAATGGCCTCTAAATAATATAGGTATAACAATATAATTCGTGCCTGTATGCTGTTAAATAATGGGCTGTCAAAATAATTGAGCATTCCAATAACTTATTATGAAACCCAGGCCAGTGAATTATTCAATTATTAATTCATTACAAAGATGCATCAAATTAATGCCGGAAAATGAACAGAATCGCCATTAAATTTTCATAATGAACCAATAATAATAATTTACATTCGATCATCGGTATCGTGAGTATATTTAAAATTTAATTCAATGTCATATAGGCCAATAAATATGATATATCAGTAATTATAATTACTTTATATAATTTTGATCAAAATTAAATACTATTTATACGTATCTACTATACTATTATATGTTTAATTTTCTCAGAATAATTAGTGTCCAATTATGAATTTAATCTTATTTTTATCTAACCAGTATCATTTTTATAGATAACGAGCCGAAACGTTCTTTGAAATTTTGTAAAAATATAACGTCTCGTCCAATTCAAATTACGATGAGTGTGAATTCAGTAGAGTATTCGCTCTTTGTCGTAAGATAATTAGGTACTTTTTAATTGACTTTCGAAAGGAAAGGCTTCTCTATTCTTTTAATTTTTTTTTGTTGCTTCTGAATTCGAAACTGATATTGATAGGCCCCTTTGTAATTGATAGGGTTTCATTCCCTCGTTAGTCTCATATTATTTTCATGATTGATGTCACCGTTTTACTTTGTAAAATTTTTCAATTAGTATGAACCAATTTCGCGTTATAAATATGACTACTGCTTACTATTTAAATATTCTTATACTAATACTTCTACGAAACATCTGGTCGTCAATCGATGTTTTGTCATAAATAAAGTCACTGCTTTTTTTGCAGAGTAAAATCTATTCGTTTATTTTTTATAACAAAAATATTATTTTTTGACATCGATGTGTGACAGAAATGAATTCGTCAAAATATGATATGATATGATATGATACAGTTTTCATATAAATAAGTTAATAATGCAGAGATTTGTGATAAGTAGTAATAAGGCGAATACTTTGCAAAGCAAACAGAAAAAAAAATGACAATGAGTTTCATTACAGTGGTTTTTGTTATTCTGATTGGATACTTATGTAAATGAATGATTTGGGCACAAGAAAATCAGCATATTTTTGAAATATCTACCATGCGATGTTATGAGATGATAAAAATATACGACTATGATTATAATATTGTAGATACCTACATAATATTATACATTATTATATACCTACTACGTATAGCTGTATTGTATTGTAAAATCTTTATTGTACATAATTTACATTGAATACATAAAAAAGATTTAATACTCAATCGCTGTATGTGACAACCCCAAATATTTTGATTCATAGAGTATTAAATATTACACATTGTTACATTAATATGTACAACAATAATATATTAGTAATAATAATATTAGTAATATTAATTTAGTAAAAAATACATACATACATATTTGTTATGCCTGTTTCCCATTGAGGTTGGCAGAAATGATGGAAGCCCAAATGCTTCGATTCAAACAGTAAAAAAATAAAACTTTACAATTTGAAAATATATAATTGATTATTGATTATTTTAAAAAATATATAGAAAAAAAAATCTTCTCTTTACACTTATAACTGCTAGCGAACTAAAACGTTAATCCTGCAATAGTATTCTGTCATTAAAAATTTGGTTTTTGATAGCAAATACAGATGGTATTTGAGAAATTATGAAGCAAAACATGAAAGAGGTGAAAATTTTTAATGTAGTTTTATTGCAATGTATTCTTTGAATAACATTTTAGTTGGAGTTTGAGGAGGATGCTTTTTAAATAATAAAACAAAAACATTGAAAACTGTTAAATTGTTTTTGAAAATAGATAATTGCGATGTTGCCATACCTCAGTAAGTAAAAGCTATGAATACTCTTAAGTTATTAATATAACGTATATATAATATTTTAAATGTAAGTATAATTTATTTATACGATGTCTCTACAGTAGTAAGA